CAAGATGAGCATGCCACTTAGACAGGGACACTCTTTCACCAATAAATGTCTGAGGTGATTTATTGGAAGAAAAGGACTGAGCATCTTGAACGGAAAAAGAAGCAGGCAGCTGGTAGAGACCATGTGCACTAGGTTCTCAAAGGAGCTCCATCCCCATAGGATACTTCACAACAAAATAAGAGGGGTGAAATTCAAAAACCACATTGTTGTCATGAGTAAACTAAGAAATGGATAATAAATTTTTAGAGAGAGCAGGAACATGCAGAATATTGTGTAAATAAAAGGTAGAACTATATATTATGAGAGAAGCACAAAGAATTGATATGTTGAATACTCAAACTTGTACCATCTCCTACACGGACTTGGTCAGTATCAAGTACAATGAGCGATATTGAAGATTATTGACATCGGGAGTCATGTGATTTGTCGCATCGAAATCAGGGTACCATGCAAGATCATTTGATGAAGAAGCAGTAGAGGCTTAGTAGGCTTGCATGGGAGTAGATGCATCAATTTCACTGGTATAAGAGATGTCAAAATGGCGACGACAAGTCTAAACTGCATGTCCTGGCTTCAAGCACAACTGACAAATAACTTTTGGTGTATTATTATTGGAAGTACCAGGAGAATTGGAACCAGAACGTCCACCTCTACCACCACTGCCACAACCTCCTCGAGGATTGTATCCACCACGCGACTAGAAGGACTAATTCTGATGTGGACGTTGCTGCTGCTATGGTCGAAGGGCAACCATATTAGTTGAGAGCAATGAATCAGAGGTTTGATTCTGCTTCAACCAGATTTCATGACTTATCAGAAGGCCATGAAGGTCATCAATAGAAAGATCATCAACATTCATATGGGTAGTAATAGATGTCATGAATGATTCATATTCTGGCCCGAGGCCAGCAAGAAGATAAAGTAAGAGATCCTGTTTTGCGACAGGTTCAAAAACTGTAGCAAGGCATTTAGCCAAGGATTTGACATTTTGGATGTACTCATTTATTGATTGAGCACCCTTTTTTATGGTCTGTAGTTGACGCTGAAGTTGCAAAATACGGGCCCGAAAAGGAGAGTCATATGATCGGCTAGGGATTTCATGACTTATCAGAAGGCCATGAAGGTCATCAAGAGAAAGATTATCAACATTCATATGGGTAGTAATAGATGTCATGAATGATTCATATTCTGGCCCGAGGCCAGCAAGAAGATAAAGTAAGAGATCCTGTTTTGCGGCAGGTTCAAAAACTGTAGCAAGGCATTCAGCCAAGGATTTGACATTCTGGATGTACTCATTTATTGATTGAGCACCCTTTTTTATGGTTTGTAGTTGACGCTGAAGTTGCAAAATACGGGCCCGAAAAGGAGAGTCATATGATCGGGCCAGGGATTTCCATACTGCTGCAGCTGTAGATAAGCCAACTACTTGTGCAATAACACTTTCACTCAAAGAGGAAATAAGCCAACTGAGAACTAATTGATCATACCTATGTTAGTTAGAGTAGGCCGGATTTTGTACCGTTCTTGTATTATCTAACAGATCAAGGATCTCTCTTAGTGGAGGAGTGATAGATCCGTCCTCCAAGCCCATCAATTCACATGAGTTGAGGAGAGGATAAAACTGAGCACGTGCACCAAATGTTGTAATTGTCTCCATTGAGTTTGATGGAGAGTAGCTGAGTTATACTGGGTATTGAAGTGAGATTTAGCGAAAAACCAAAGGTTGATGCAGATGCTACCAAGGGGATGTTGCTGGACATATTGGTGTTGTTGTTGGAGGCCATGAGAATTGAGCTTGGATCTACCAGGAGCTCTGATGCCATGAAAACACTGATTTCAGATATAGAGATTAATAGAAATCGCACACACAGTGAGCGAAGATTGTATTGCTTATATAGGTTTACAAGTGATTGAGCTTGAAGTGGATATTTACATCAGATAAGGAACCGTTGTACAGTAGTTATCAGTGATAAGGATTATAAAGACGATATCGATGAGCTAAGAGTTATCCGAAAACTCTTTGGATTTAACCTTCACATTGCCTCATCTACACCAACTTGGAAGCATACATCTTGGCAAAGTTGGCAAGTGTAAAAGCCCAGGCAGAAAGTGCAATTGTTCCTTTCTCTGGGTAAACCTAAACATCGCCAAGGAGAGGATCTTTGAAAAGTCTGATAAGCCATAATCACATTGGCATTCTCAATCACTCTTTGAAAAGTCTGATAAGCCTCTTCCTATCAACCTGGAGCTCAAGGAAGCACCTGTACATCTTGTTTACAGTCACGAGAGGACTAATCCTCTCACCAAGAGCCTGTCGGAGGACAGCACCTGGACACATACACCCTCAACACAATCATCCACCCCCAGCGCACCGTATGGAGAGTAGTCGTGACCTAAAATGAGAAATCAACATGCCCAATTGGTGGTTCTACTTGAGGCAGGGAGGCAGCACAAAAACCAGATGATTAGTCCTAAAAGTAAAAATTCCGTGTTGAATTATCAAAATAGATTTCTTTGTGTCATTCAGTGTCATTCAGCTTCAATGGAGGTAACCACCCATTCCCATCCTCTTGACCCCCTAAACTCTGATAGCAACAGGATTTGATCCTACGTCTCTACTACGAATTAGAGATCCTCCAACTTGGTGATAGTTTCACGAAACCAAAGCCTTTGATATATTAACAAGCCCCATCTTGAATGAGACAAAATCCGTATCCAATCATAGCAAAAGCAATGTGATAAAAAAAGGTCCATATCCAATTGTAACCAGCATCATATTAAACGTTTTAGTTTATTTCTCAAGCTCAGTTGTTTTAAGGACATTGGATCCTAATTTTAACAAGGAACCAAGACAAATTCGTGAAACTATGTTGTAGTGGAAAAAGTGATTTTTTTTTTTCTTTAAAGTGGTCCTTTTAATACTTTTTTATTTTTAATATCTCACATCATGTCAGGAAAATCGGCAGTGGCCAGTGGGGCAGAAAAGGGCTCGCGCAAAGAGTCATCGGTGCCCTTATTGGAGACTTGCACCGACTGAATCCGGTTTCCACCTACCCATATTTGCAACATTTTGAATCATCGCATTATCGGCTATATACAGATGTAATCAAAGCATATGTTTGACTTGGAAATAAATATTTGCTTTGGCTTTTTGCTAATAATTCTGATAAGGTGCCCAGCGTACCGCACATTTTAGATTGCATTGGAAATAAATATTTTTAATACTTACTATTGGAAGATGTTATCAATACATACTTGGATTGTGCTGTGGAGCACGTGTAGAATATACTTTGTGACGCGCTCATGCGAATTCTACTAATAGCAGCCAATTCCCCTAAAGTCTATGATCTTCGGTTAAGGTTGCCACCAGAAACGTAATCAAAATATGATATTATGCTACTCCAAATTTTCAAAATTCCTAATTTCTCCTTGGATTAACGAAGCTTGAGGGATGAACAAGGCGGAGAAGAATTGGTTTCATTCTCCAACTTGCAGCTATAGGTACTCACAACCGAACCGTAGGCTTATTTTTAAAACTAAATCAATATTATCAATTTTTGGAAAATCAGTAATCAAAACTAATGAAGCTGGTTGATCGATTTGGTTAACCGTCAATTTAGTTCATTGGTTTTTCAGTTTTGTTATATTTATAATATATTATAAAATTTATATAAATATATAATAAAAAGCTAGAAATATATATAATATTATATTTTAAATAATAAATAATATTATATATATATATATATATATATCGGTCAGTTCAATTACCATTGGTTTTTTATATTGGTTAACCAAAATCAAATCGATCAGTTTGGTTAATTAGGCCTTCTCTTTTGTAACATATCCAAGGTGTTAAACTTCCCATGTACTACTTCCCAACACAAAGCTCTCACTTTAGGTGGAATGGATCTACACCAGAACTCTTTAAAGGGAAAAGAAGGATGATCCCACGGAATGCAAAGAGTCTTGAACAAAGAGGTACAAGAGAACAGACCCTTAGGGTGGGGAGCCCAAATATGCTTTTCAGACTTCTCAAGGTCCAAACTAACATTTTGAAGGATTTGTAACAGATCTGAGCAAGCTGAGATTACACTATCTCTTAGACCTCTGCAGAAAGCAAAATCCCAATTGAGGTCCATAGGGAGTACTAGAAGAACAATAAAATTCGAAACACACTCTTTTATACATGGAGACTAAATACAAAGAAGAAAAAAGATCTTTCAACGGACAAGAGACGCTCCATGTATCCTCCCAAAATTTAACAGAGATCCCAAAGCAAACATCATACCTGATAGACCAAAGTAAAAGAAACAAGGTGCAGTGGATGGCTTTCCACGGAGAGGTCAGTGTAGCCCTGTTAGATACTCCTACATCCCAACCATTTCCTAACCTCCCATATATGCTAGCAATGACTTCGTGCCACAGTCTATCCCTTTCTTTCAGTCACCTTCATACACAACCTCTCATTTAACCAAATGGTCTTTCTATTCATCACCCGGATCCCAAAGGAAACCTCTCATGATTTTTTCAATTTTTTTGTCTCCTTTTGAGGAATCCTAAAAACTGACAAATATAAATTGGTAGGATGGCAAGAGTGTATTTGATCAAAGTAATTATTCCGCCCAATGTTACATAATTTCTCTTCTTAGCAGCCAGTGATAGGCTCTAAGTGACGAAGCTTCTTTGAGGGAGCTCTTTCCTCCAAAAACAGAGTTACGAGAGGGAGAGAGAAGATGAAGAAGAAGAAGAGAGAAAACTAAGTGGTTATGCTTTTTATGCTGATTCCGTTCCACCCGTAGGCCTTATATAGGCTTTTCTCCTAATAAGCTCATCATGACCACACGCTTATGCATGTGGGTGGTTAAGACGTGGCCTGCGGTTGTAAACGAATCGCAGGGGAGGCTTGCAATGCTTTGCATGTGCCGCTCCTGCTGCTGCATGGACCTCACGACCCACATGGGCCTGGCTTTCCTGACCTACATGGGCCTAGTGACCCAATGGCGAATTACCTACTTAGGTTCTATCATCCCCCCACCCTTAAGAATGACCTTGGCCTCAAGGTCAAGATGGGGAAACTGCTCCTGCAACTTACTGAAGTCTTCCCAAGTGGCATCTTCTGTGGGCAGGTTCGTCCACTGAATAAGGGCTTGCTTCACCACTTTGCGACCAATCTTTATCCAGCGGATATCTGAGATGACAGTGGGCTCAACAATCAGCTGCCCTTCACTACTAAACTCAAGTAATAGTGGCTTCACCAAGGCTGCATTTGTTCGACAAGGCTTGAGAAGCGAGACATTAAATACTGGGTGGAGGCGGGCAGTACTCGGCAAGTCTAATTTGTAAGCCACTGCTCCCGCTCTCCCTGAGATGTAGAAGGGACCAAGGAAACGGGTGATAACTTCTGCCGGCTTCTTTGCACACCTTTTGACAACTGGATTCCAGAATCTGTTTTCTCTAGGGTTTGCTCCTAAAGAAAGGCCAAAGTAGGTCAAGGACCAACTAGTTATGGAGCACTATAAGATGTCGGCAACAGAGTTTGTTCCCCTTCCTCTAAGTTGATGCCCGCTACAAAGCTTTTCTTAAGGTTGAATTTCAGGTTAGAAACAAACTCAAACGTCACCGCCTCCTTTAGGTTCCTCGCTACACCTCCCCCCCTCCCCCCTCACAGATAATGAAAGATAATTTTATCAACAAAAGATGAGAGCACTTACAAGCAACCTAGAGAGAGGCACAAGGTGTGACTTTCCTTAAAGTGCAAAGATTATATCAAAGCACTAGAAGAAGAACATAACAAAGTAGCCCAGTACAGATGTTCCCTCATAACCGCTTGTTTGACAAGATAATCAGCCAAAGTGTTTGCTGATATGCCCACCCAATCTAAGCTAACATTCATGTTCTTGTTAACTAGGTAGCTTTCTTTAGGATGTCCTCATTGCACCAAATGGCAAAGTTCGAATCTGTTAACCAACTCACAACTTTAGAGTCTCCTTCAATTAGTAAATTCTCCACACCAAATTGATTTGCAATCTGAATACCTTGTAAAGCCACTAGTAACTTCCGTCCATCCACATGATAAACGAATAATTTTATGGGAAACCAATTTGAAGCTAGGTCCCAATTCCCAATCTTCTTACAGATGTCAGCTTCAGAGGGCACCTCATTGCTGTCATGACAAGGGAGTGTTCTCAGTATAGCACGCCTCTTTCTACTTGAAAAGAAAACGAATAAAAAAAGCCTATGTTGGGATTCACATGCAAAGGCCCATATTAGAAATTGGGTAAATGGTGTGCATGTGTTTGTTTTAGTGGTATAAAAGAAAGTCAAAAAGGTATAGAAAATGGTAGTAAGGAGCACTTTTTTTTAACATTTGTGCTTAGAGTACAAGTGTGGAGGTGAAGACAAGTTAGATGGAGGACAGCTGCTTGTCGCTTCTTTCAACATGATGAAAGAAGGTATCAGTGGTCTCTCTCATTTTAAAGCAACTTCCTTTTTGTTCAATTATTTCCTTAGTTATATGTGGGTAGTCATCAATATCAATCCTCGGCAATGCTACTTCTATCTCTCAACTTAGAAAGGAGCATGTTCGACACTCAAAGCATTTTTATTATTTGGCATAAAGTTTAATAGAATTCAGATAAGTATATTTAAAAGCTAATTTATTCTTTGCAATATCTTGAAAATGTTGTGATTCCCATTATTATTATTAAGGGTAGATTTTCTCCTTTCTTGTGAAAGCCTCATACGTTGATTGCACATTCGAGCCTGTACTGGATCCAAAGTTTGCATGTAAAAGAGGTTTATCTTTGCTTTCTTTGGAATGTTAAGCTTGCTACTTCATTAATCCTTTAAGCGCTCTAAGTGTTTTCCTTGTCTTCACAATCACAACTAAATCAGTCAGTCAATGTTTATCTCACCTCAAAATGCTAAAATTGTAACCAAAGACCATGTATTTTGTTTCTTTGCCTTGCTATACTCACAAGACATCCTCTTAAAGCCATTTGGAACTTTGAATCACGATAGCAATGCAATGTTCTCTAACAAAATTATAAGACCTAGTGAATCATACCACTTCAGCTGCTCGGGCTGTCGCCATAGCTACCTCCACAACTACTACGGTTGCTATTTGTGGCAAAGTGGCAATGGCATGGTAGTGGCTGCAGCTGCTGTTACAGCAACAAACTTCTAGTGGGTTTAATTTTGTTTCTTCATCTCAAGCAGAGTAGCTCTGGAAATTTGAGAGCACTGTTAGCATTGTAATTGTTAGCGTATTCTATCAAAATTAGTATTCTATCATTATCTTCTTAATTCTGGGAGAGATATTTCTAATCTAATTAGTTGTACATATCTTATTTCTTTCCTTTTTGTATTCTAATTTAGGTCGCCAACCTTGTTTCCTGATTGTATCCCTAGCTCTATTATAAATAGGTTGTAGCCTATTGAATTCAATATCAATAAATATTATCTGTCTCAGGCCAAGTATACCACTGATTTTGTTTCTCGTGTAGGACTCACTGATACTAAGACTGTTAACACTCCGGTTGAGCCTAATGCCCATTTTTCAACCACTGATGGTACTCCTCTTAGTGACTGCACCTTATATCGGCAACTAGTTGGCAGTCTTATATACCTTACTGTTACTCATCCTGATATTGCGTATGTTGTCCATATTGTGAGTCAGTTCATGTCTGCCCCTCGCACTACTCATTATGCTACTATGCTTCGTATCATCCGTTATGTCAAGGGCACTTTGTTTCATAGACTTCACTACTCCAGTTATTTCTCTCTTCATTTGATCGCATATTCTGATGTTGATTGGGCCGGTGATCCTACTGATAGACGCTCCACTACTGGTTATTGTTTCTTTCTTGGAGATTCTCTTATATCTTGGTGTAGTAATAAGCAAACGGTTGTCTCTCGTTCCAGTACTGAAGCTGAATATCGAGTTCTTGCTGACACTACCTCCGAGCTATTATGGTTACGATGGTTACTCCATGACATGGGAATTACTCATTCATCTGCAACCCCTCTTTATTGTGACAATCGTAGCGCCATACAAATTGCCCACAATGATGTATTTCATGAGCGCACTAAGCATATTGAGACTGATTGTCACTTTATTCGTCATCATGTGCTCGAGGGTACTGTTCGCCTTATTCCTGTCCCTTCCCATGATCAGTCTGTAGATATATTTACCAAAGCTCACTCTCCTCTTCGCTTTCGTGTTCTAGTTGGCAAACTCCAGATGACTGATGCATTACTATTTTGAGTTTGAGGGGGGATGTTAACGTATTCTATCAAAATTAGTATTCTATCATTATTTCCTTAATTCTATGAGAGATATTTCTAATCTAATTAGCTGTACATATCTTAATTCTTTCCTTTTTGTATTCTAATTTATGTCGCCAACCTTGTTTCCTGATTGTATCCCTAGCTCTATTATAAATAGGTTGTAACCTATTGAATTCAATATCAAGAAATATTATTTTCTCCATTTATCTTTTTTGTTTTTTCGTATCAGTAATGTTGGGAAGAGCCGAAGAGGAGCACCATTTGGCGGAAAAAAAAGGAATAAACATAAGAAAATGGGTATTTTAGTCATTTTCTCCTTCCATCATTGGATTTTAATTTAGACGTGTCAATATGTTATTCAGCTTTTTAATTGGGTTAAGCCCAATAGAATGGCTCAAATCATATTAAAAACTGGACCAAACCATGATAAAACGAATGATTGACCCACTTAAATTTCTATAATGACAGGTTTTGACTTGGTCTAAGAAAATTCTAGACTATAATTTATCGGTTTGATCTAATATATTCTCCAAATTGAACCAAACCACGCAAACATCCTCATATTCAACAATAAGAAAATGGTCAGGCAATCACATCCAAAGGTATCATATGATTTTGTAGGCAGTATATCAGAATTAGACAGTTGCTATGGTTGCCAACCATGTTAAGAAATATGTAAGGTTTTACAACCAGTAGGTATAAAAAATCAGTAAACTCTTGCTTTTCTTTCTTCTTTTTTATCAAAACAAGTAAACTACCTAAAAAGCTTTTTTTCTAAATAACTTTGTCCAAGGACCTCTCTTCCTAAAGAGCCTTGTAGGACCACCTTGTTGGAGACTCCGAGGACTCGAATCTTTGTCACTTGCAGCAACCTCTAACCAGTCTTCTGCCTGAAGCCTTCTAGAATCATATTCATTGTCACTCTTGAAAAATCCTACTTTCTTTGCTACTTCTTTTGGAAATTCTGGGGAGAAGATTGTGCACCATTCTCATCTACTTCTTCGGCTTTCTTCAAGTTTCTTGAATATTTTGCCTTAGAATAGACTTTCTCATTTACTTTCACAGCATTCTTTGCTGAGTCTACTCTAGAATTAACTTTTCTATCAATTTCTGCAGTGTTTTCTTGCTTCGGCTGCTTTGAGGCTTTCACAATGTAAACCTACAATAAAACCAGTAAAATCCTATTGATAACTGAAACAAAACTATTAAACAGCAGAGATAATAAAATGGACAACCATAGATGAGAATCTATTTAATATTGTTTTATGAATATTGAAACAGTAGGAAAGCTTCCAATAAAGAAAATCTTAGCATTCTACAAGGACATGGACTGTTCTTGTAACTCAATTCTTCTATAACCCACAAACTTTTATGTAATACTACAATGGTTGTTAAGTTACCAACATCATTTTATTCCATGCATTATTATTTTCCAGAGAATAACGTTTTTGCCTTTTGACAATACACTGTTCTACTAAACCAAGAAAGCTACCAAGTAACTCAAGAAAAGTAACCGAGCAAAAACCAAATGGCAAGCATAATCATTTTTGAACGAATATATTTGATAGGGTCTTGCCTTGAATCTTGTTGGCTCAATCAATTCAAAGACAAAGCATCTCCGTCATCCAATTTATGATCCAATGCAAAACCTCTCCMCCCACCACTAAGGCCTGATCTACTTCCAATGTAGATAGCGTCATACTCTGAGCCTTTCTCATCCTCCAATACCATCTTCAGCTCCTTAGTGGGAAGATGGTTCTTGCAAAAACTTGACGGAAGACCCTAATGATTATATCAGATTTAAGCAACAATTTAGTAAAAGTAGTCTCACATGTACCATCCAAAAATAAACTTTTACCATACATTATATATATATATATATAGCAAAAACTCACCAGCCAAAAGCAGCTATACACATGAAACCGAACCATGGATTTAACAAAAGATGGACTTCCCGATGGCAAATTAGTTCGAATCTTTTCTGCAATTTCAATAGCATGGAATCGTTCCTCATACGATGCCATTTTTACTTCATCAAAAGGTCTAGCGAGGTAGCTGAAATTAAGTTGGATTTAGCAAGGTGTAAAGAATCCAACCACCAAAAATCAAATTAGTAGACAGAAATCATTGAGCAAGAAGCCAAACCTCTTCCAAGAATTTGACCTTGATCTCTTAACGCAAATTTGGAGTGACATCGCCGACCTGATATAAGTAAAACAAATTTCGGAAAATAGAAACCTCTAACACTTGGGTTTGTTTTGAACCAAGTCATGAGCAAAGTAGCCAAACCAAGAATTAATGCTAAGAAAGTGCAAAGAGTCAAATGTTATATCGTCATAGCAGTATTTTGATTGTGTGTACGAGCAAAATGCATAGATGGCACCTAAGAAGCAAAGAGATCAATATATGGTGTGGTATTGTTTGAGGGGTGGGCACGTATTAAAACCAATTGGCATTTTCTTATGCTGAAAAATAAAAGAGAAACGCTAGGACCACGACCCTGTATCTGTTGTAGACCTTGGAATCAGAAAGAACAGATATAGACACCGACGAAATCTCTCATTATACCTACCCCCGTAATAGACGCAAGGCCAAGTATTGCAACACTAGTACTAGATTGATATTATAAATCCATCCAACGAAGCAATCCGAGCGCTTGATTTAGTTTCGAGAATTGAAATATCAGGAAAGGCGTATTAATATGTCATGTCATGACAGTTAACTGATTACCAAACCTAGGTCAAACCATGCAATCAATAAAACACAAAGTGCCTAATGCTCTTTTCTCTACTATTCATTATTACCCCCTTTTCACCTTGATTTTTCGTCCCAGCAGAATTTGAGTGATATTCATGCTTACCTCTGAATACAAATATCTAGACAGGGAAGAAATCCCTATTTATTGGCACAAGATTACCTTCATGGATTACGATGATTGAACGAGTGGCAATAGTGTTAAGACAGTTGTATGCCCTTAGGTTCAATCAGAATGATGTATATTATGAATTTATTGTAAATGAATAAAATACATATTTGATTCATGTTCCTGTGGTGTGTTTCTGTGTAATACCCTTAAACTTGACACTTATGAGACTTGTGTTAGTTTAGAATGTTCACAGCCGTTGGATAAGTCTGGGGA